TCTGTGTTGTAAAACTGTTTGTTTGTTCCCACTGGTTGCTTGAGCTTACACAAAAGCTGATGTCCCTTTAACTTTTCCAGGAGGCACTGAGGTACTTTAACCAGACGACCAAACAGAAAGAAATGCTGGAGTTTGCTCTGAGCTACCTGCAAACAGACGATGAGGTATGTTTCTACACTTGGCTCAAAGGCTGATGTTGACTAATGGCGCACTGTTTTTAGACAGAATGAGGGCTTGAGCTTAAGCGTCAACGGAAATTACATTAATTCCTTTAAAGAAAGAAAAAAAATTTATCTGAAGGACTAATCTTTATAAAATATGGCATTTAATTAGCAGCATTAAACAAACCGAACTGTGGCACCAATTTAGCAGAGGACAAGCTATAACAAAATCTTTTGCCAATGAGTTTATGTTACTTATTGCTGGTTTCAAACCTTATCTAATACAAAATGATGATCATTTTGATAGATAGACTGCAGTCTGAAATATTATAAGAGAGAGACATGGCGCAAAAATAATTCTCACTGAAAATGCAGAACAATGACCAAGTCAATCAACAGCTCCAACAGGAAATGTCTCAATCAAGCACAGACACAGTGGAGGTTCACAATAGTTTCAGCACATTCCTCTACATTAGAATTGTAAAGACTTGGATGAATGTACGCTACCAAATGTTGTTCATACATAGTAATATAGCTTATAGAGGGGGAAAGCCTTTAAAACCTATTTTAGGCAAAGACTGGGAAAAGATTTATTTATTTCCTCAGTAACTTCAGTTTGCTGGTCAGATCCAACCCTCTCTCATGACTTTTGGTTTCAAGAAGCCAAGATGGCTAGAAGCCCAAACATCAGTGCGACGCTTCAAAACCACACTTTACAAACCAATGGGTGAAGTCACAGTGGCTATGCCAATCTTTTTATATGCTGCTACAGTGGCAATGCACTTAATTTACAAGTTAGGGATAGTCCAGTTTGAGACTCTAAATATGTATTGTTTTAAATGTCCATTAGGAAAACACTGAACGCTTACAGTCTGACTTCTATACCAATTTGACATTTTCTTACAAAAACAGTAACTATAAATGTTCATCTAAACTACAAAGAAATCCTTTGTTATAATCCAGCTACTGGTATACAGCTACGATGATCATATCTGACTAAGCTTGCAGAGATAATTATCTCTGAGATGTTTTTTTTTTTCTTTTAACAACAAAAACAAAATTCCACCGGTCCCCTTTGTGCTGGAACAGTGGCTGAGGTATCAGACGCAGACGCCTGAAAACCTCAGCAGATAAAATCCAAACTCTCTGCAGGACTACAGAGGATAAAAATAAGTCTTTGACTTGGAGGATCCAGCTGGGGTTTACTGTTATTGTTTTTCAAAATGCAAACTTCATATCTTCTTTAGGAGTGTAGACCTTTACTTTGGGGGAATTAACCAACAAACTAAATGTAGAGAACACAAAGGAAAAGAAATCAGAGGATGAAAGGGAGAAACAGGGGTGAAGGCTGCGGAAGAAGGGGTGGAGGGGGTTGTCTTCCGGCAGCAGTGTGTGGTATGTGGCTTGGAGGTGTTGGCCACTGAGACTGTGCCACATCCATTTAACTCAGGCCGGCTCCTCCCAGCTTCACACTGCCTGGACCTGAGAAGGGGAAAGGAGGACTGTGAAAGTTCAGGCTGAATTACAGGGTGCAAAAGTTGACAGATTTACAGACATAAGAAGAAGAATGTGTCAGTGAATCTCTGAATAGTACTGTAAGTAAGGCTACGTCCACACTAGCCCAGATAGATTTGAAAATGGCCTTTTCATCTGAAAACACTCCGCGTCCACACTAGTGTTTTCAGTCGTTTTCACAGAGTTGTGCATCCACATTGAAAGGGCCGAAAACGCTTAAGTTCCATTACTGCACATGCGTGAAACACAAGAAGATTCAGCCTGCCTCATTTCTGTCTGCCGTTTATTTACTTTCCAGCTCATTGAAACGTTGCAGCAAAATGTCGAGGAAAAGCACCAAGTTTTTTGCAAAAGCGAGTGAGAATTAAAGAATTTGAAGAAAAGCTATCTGAAGCATGTACAAACTGATATTAATCTTTAATAGGGCTGTCAAAATTGAGAGCAAACAAAACAACTCCGCTACCTTAGTTTAATTGGTCACATGACTGCATCACATGACTAAAATGCGTCATCGTTTTCGAAAGTCTCCGTTTTCGCTGTCCGCACTGTGACGCGAAAGCACCGTCCTCAAATGTATTCGTTTTCGAGAGCGTTTTCCTTCGGGGAAAGTGTGGACGGGAGGCCAAAACGGAGAGAAAACAATGCGTTTTCAAACGCAACAGTGTGAGTGTAGCCTCATTAAAGAGTTTTCTGTTAATTTGTTTTGTTTTTCTCTTTTACATTTTAGGAAGTTGTAAGTCCAGAAGAAATGACCACCTCTCGCTCAAACCATCCTGACACTGAGTTTGAGGGTATGGGGGATTATGAGGAGTCCCTCCTGGCTGATTGGTGGCAGGAACCCAAAACTAAGTGGGACACTGGAGAAGTCATAGACTGACATCTGTCTTTATCTTCGAGCAGAACACTTTCACGTCCAACTCTGTCCCACCTCCCATGAAAACATGCCCAAAAAATGCTGAACCATCTACAGACAAACATCTAGATTCCTATCAGTATTATGCAAAAAAACCAAAAACACAGAGCCCCCCTGGTGATTGATTGTGGGGATTTCTTTTTTTCTGTTTTTTTGACAAGATTAAAATTCACAGCCTTGTTAGTGCATGCACAGCCATGAGTAAATGACGTTTGTGAGGTGAAAACAAATCTTAAATATGCACGGTAACAAAATAGAAAGCTACTTTTGTTATCGGGGAAAAATGAATATATTTGGATTTTTTCACTTTGTTATGTGAGCTTTTTCTCTCCCCCTAATCTCCCAGAGTGAGAAGCACCCTGTGTGTTTAGGGCCCTCTTACTGCAGGATATCAAATTTCATCCAAGTTACATTAACTCAACCCATGCTTCTTGTCATGGTTTATCTTACCGGGGGGCTCTGTTTTAATTTTAACTTAGTTGGTTATTAAATGGACACAATTACCCATCATGATGATCAGTATGAAAGACTAATCAATCATTGGGCTCAATGCTGATATTTGCCAATGACTTTTCTACAGTTTTTATTTACTGTTATTTAATGAAAGCTGTGAGGTGTGATATAACAATGCTGACATGGGGCTTTTATGTTGTTATTTGTCATCCACCAATAAGATATTGGTAATAAGATGCTTTTAATTAAAATAATTTAATGTATTCTTTTTGATTGGAATCATACATTTTTTTAAAATAACTACTTTAATAAGCTCAAATATACTTGCATTGTAAAAACTATTTTGATTACATTACTACTCTAATCAATTTATTTTGGAACCAAGTTTGATTAATATGGTGAAGATGTTTGATAAATTTAAGGTTTAAAAATAATGTTTTTATGTTGCAAATGTATTTGACGCTTGATTAAAAAAAAAAAAAAAAGACAATGTAGAGGTCGACCTGGTCTCTTGAAAAAATGTAAGCATCCAGTTTATATTATAACATGGGATTTACCCTATAAAAAGGTAGTTAATCTTATTTAGCAAGGACCCAAACCACAAACTACAAAAGCAAATGAAAACATTCTCATTGAAGATCTGTGGCGACGCTGGGGACAACAGCGGAGCATGAAAGCAAGATGTGTGGGGCATTTTTAGATGTACAACAGGAAGGCAAGTGTTTGGGATGTAGTTGCGCTCATGAACCTGAGATAAATAATCACCATTTAGCACAAAGCTCTTGCTGCATGGTTCACCCACTTTGCCCTCCATGTAGAGTAACGTGCAAAAGTCTCGAGCCACCCCTCATTTATTCAGTTTGTGTTAGTAAAATGGGAAAGAGGAGCAATTTATTTAAACATGCAAAGGCAAAGAAATGGAGTGTAAAAACATATTTTCTATACGATCATGGTTTTCTTCAGCACATCCTGAACTTTCTTATAATTTATTTAAGTAGTGTTCAGAAATAGTTCTCAAAGGACATTCAAAGCTCTTCTTTGGAGCTTTGAAACCGTTATGCACCAGGCATGAGGAGCCTGGTGCATAACTGCATAAATGCACCAGGCATGAGGAGCCTGGTGCATATCTGGTAGTTTCCTACTCTGTGTTTTTTCTATTTAGGTAGGCTTTTACTACATTGGCAGTGTGTTTGGGATCTCTGTTAAACAATTAAGCTCTTTCCAGATGGTATTAAATGATGGATCAAAGTCTGATGGCATTTTTCTTCCATTGTAATTCCATCAGTTTTGACAAGATCCCCAACACCACTGGCTGAAATGCAGCAATAAACCTTGACAAAGCCTCCACCGTGTTTTACAGATGACTGTATCTCTCTTGACCTCCTCTGTGCACATTGGTAATAATTTGAGGGAAAAACTTCAAATTTGAATTCATCACTCAGACCTGTTGTTACTGATTTTCAGTCCCGTTCTTGTGTAATTTGGCATACCTCAGTCTTTTCTGCCAGTTTCCCTTCCTTTATTTTGGCTTCTTGACAGTCACTGTTCCACTGAGATCATTTCTGATGAGGTGTCAGTTTTTTAAGCATATGACTTTTTTTTTTTAAGGTATTGCCCAAAGCCAAAGTTTGAAATCCATCAGAAATCCTGGAAAACTGTTGCTCAAGAAAACTTCAACAAAAATTAGAAGAAAGTCTGCCTCCTTGTGCACAAAATATAAAGAAATGAGCGATTTCAGACTTTTGCACAGTAGTGTAAATAGCTCTGAAAAGCTTTAATGCCATATAATTTACGCAATGTTTTGCATGATTCTTTTCTACCTTCTTACGATAGTTTCATATAATCATTATATTTAAAAAAAATTAAGAACCAGAAAAAAGCAGAAAGTCTAACCATCGATTAAAGCTGTGAAATACCAACAGACACAGGCAGTGACATGCGAGAGTAAGAGGTGTGGCTTCGTGTTTTAGTATTTTATTTTCCCTTCATTTTAATCCATTTGCAGTCTTGATTTCATTCCTTTTCATTAATTAATTTCAAAAAAGATAGTCTCTAAAAATATGGGGTAAGACGCATCTCATTTTCTTCCTTTTTCTTCCCGATTGCATTTGATATCCACTCTGTACATATTGTATTAATAACAATAGTGCATTAGCCATAGTGCAAAGCTCAAAACAAACCAAACTGACCGCATACGCCATCAGACAAGCTGCATTCTGGACCCCGAACCAGATCTCTTTAATCTCATTTACAAAGTTTCTGGGCTGAGGCGTTCACCCAGGGCTCAGGGCTATCAACAAATGTACAAAAGACTCATGGCATTTCATTTCAGTGGTAGTTAGAACTACAAGAGAAATGATGAGATGGCAAGCATAGCTTTTTTTTTTTTTTTGGCCACATTTAAAGATGCATGGACAGCTTTGTCTACAGGAGAGATTTGCAGAGGCAGGGCGTGTCAGGAGATGGATAGCTATAAATTTTCTCAAACAGATAAATTATTTTTTAAGCATAGTTTTAAATAAATCTTCATACATTGCATTTAACATTCAGTATATCTTGCACATATTTACAAATAGGTGTGCATACAGTTGGCTAGTGCTCATTTTTTTTGTAGATACATGACATGTTGAATTCTTTCTGTGCTGCCTTTAGGGTGTGTGGCTGCAGCGCACAACAGGTTGTAGAAAGAGATGATCTGCTAGAGGTAAAAACCAGTGATGGGAGGAATGTTCAGGTGTACACAGACACAACTGCCCCATAACATTAATGTAAACACACACATTCTTACTTTCTTTAAAAACCTCTTACACCCATACATTCACTCCTGAGCAGACAGACATAGTAAACTTCCTAAGCGTACAAACTTTGGGCCCAAAAGTGGTGAACACGCACAGACAGATATTGTGGAATGTATGTTGGTCGGTCTGTCATCGAAAACACTAAGTTACGGTCTCTGCTGCTTCATATATATGATATTTTTTTTAATGATCCCAAAACCACAACACCTAGCTTCCTTTTTTTGTACCTGAAAACTTGAGGGTGTGGGAGATTGGTGGGCAGGTAGGATGCCTCAAGTTAAGACTCAAACTGCAATCCAGAACAAACAGCTTCTACGATCAGTCAGTCTTTACTCACCTTTTCTTTGGAAAACATGCTAACAACAGTGTTCTTTTTGTTAAAGTTATCTCAACGTTGCCAAATGTTGTAGATTAAAAACTCATTTCTGTCCATTTTAAGATGCACCTTGTCAACGTCTGGACCTCGGAGGAACTGTATCTTAGGTCCGTTTCCTTAAAGAAAAAAAGGAAACAATACAGCCCCTGTTACGTTATTTCAGTCTGTGTGCTAGTCCAGCAATACCTGTGGACTCAAGTGACGGCCGGGTTAGTTTATGTGCAGGCAGGCATTGGAAAGACGTGTCTCATTTGGTCCACCGTTGATATGTTCTTGATCAGACTGTCCGAGACGTGAGAAGAGGTACACAGACACCAAAGCACATTCGTATAGCCACTGGACTGGAGGAAGACCCCGGTGTCTCCCACAGGGAGAGCCACCTGCTTGCTCTAGGCGTGGCCTGGACGTAATCCTCAGTGGCCTGCTGGCAGCAGCCACATGAGTATGATTTGGCTGGTATGGTGAGAGGAGCTCCACAGGTCCCAGGAGGACAGACGAAAGGAGCAGACGCGATCGTGGAGGAAACGATGCTCGGAAGAGGTTTTGGAGATATTGTGGGACAGTAGTGGAAGACCTATTTTTTTTTGTTCCCCTCTTCTTCAACGTGAAATGACACAGTGCGAGGAGGAAGACAGAAGTGGACAGGACACAGAGACAGAAAGACAGACAGATCTTATCCTCCACCAGATCTGAAAGACAAGTGAAAATTAAGCAATTATTAATATAGATATGCTGATATAGGTGATAGGAGATGACGATGAGAGAAGGTATTTTGCTTTACTGTTTTGTAGCTGATGTAATAGGAATGATCTAAAGTATTTAAAAAAAAAAATTAAAACAGGAGAGAACTGAAATGGAAAGGATTGAATAAGTTCTGTGGAGATGATTTTCAGATGGTGGATTACTGTGTCAGCAGCCATGCGGAGCGAGTTTGGGATGAGATAGTGGGATATTTTTAGGATGCAGCTCTGTGTACAGATTACATGGTGATATATTATACCTTCCTCTTCGAATGTTCCTGCATCCCATGAGAACGCCAAGAGAGAAGACAAAATGTGGAGATACTTAAGTCAGTATTGATAAAAGAAATGAAGAACTCATGACACACAAATAAGAATTAATGTGCTTGGCAAGTTATAATTTTATGTAAAAAGCAAAGTAAGTAGCAAAGCAAGTAAACACAACTTAGAGTGGACTTAAGGATTTTTTAAAGAGTTTCCTTCTTGTCAAACTGCCTCAAGTCAAGTCAGAATTAGCTACATCATGACTCAAACAATGACTCAATCCATTATTCATCTACCAGTCCTTCCCTAAATCTTCATCACATTGTAGTGATCACATCACATGCAGCAGGTCTACAGAAGTCTGCCACAGCTATGCCTGATAATATTACCCAGTAAGCCAGCAGTATGATTAGGAAGAGAAAACTTTGCTTATGGCTCATGCACACATGCACACATGCACAGACACTTCTGGCCCCAAAAGGACTGACTGCATTCTATAAACTAAGAATCACTTATTGCTTCTTAATTTACTGTTGTCTATATATCAAAGAATTATCATATACATCATATATCATATATACTGACTGTCTATTAGAGCAGCAGTAGTCCTTTTAGGTCAGACCATAAGTAGTGCATAATAGCAAGCATGCATAGGTGGAATAGTGCAGAAGGAGCACTTCAGCAAGGGCATTTGAGGTTAGGATGCTGCCTACAGAGAAAAGGGATAATGCAGGTGTTTAAAAGCACCAACGTAAGAGTATATGACAAAATTAATGCTTAGGTAAACCCAGTGTCAAAAAAACAAAACAAAAACGTTTTTAGTCTTTACATGGAGAGTAAACAGGTGGGGGAAAATGTGGCACCAGTAGGGTAAGTCAGGTCTGTTCTAGTAGACTTGAGAAAAGGGCTGTAGTGGTTCCTGGCAAAAAACATGTCTTGCCCTGTCATTACTAAAAAAATGGGTCTGGAAAGAGGATGGAGAGGGAGGAAAGGTGCAGGATGGAGCTCAGAGTTGATTACAGCATAGTTGTGTTTTGTATGGATCTTAAAAGCCAAAAGCGGTTCAAGCATTAGCACGTCTCAGACTTGACTCCCCATTTCCCCTCCCCTGGGCCGGGCAGTGAGTTGCAAATGGGCATCTAGTTCATAAACGTGAGAGTGGGAGGGGCGGGGACGTCCTTTAGGTAGAAGCAGACAGGTACACAAAGGCATGCCAGAACTCTTACTTAAATCCCCATCCTGTTCCCCCTAGGACTATAGCTGCCAGGAGAATAGCACCTGCGATGGACCCTATAATGATATTGGTGCCACTTGGACCTGCGCAGAGGAAGGAGGGGGGAAGGAAGGGTGCGGAGGAGGAGGAGGAGGAGGAAGAGGAGGGGCAGAAACAAAACAACACCACTAAAAAACACACGTCAGAAGACAGCATCAACACTGTACATCAACAACATCAACTAGAGAGAGGGAGAAAGAGAGAGAGAAAGATGGCAAGATACCTGCAGACAGAAAGAGAGATGCAGGGAAAGAGGAAGTAACCAGCACATGGGGTGGAGATGGGAGAACAGGCGGGTGAGCGAGGGAAGTCAGGAAGACAACAGTAACAAAAATACAAAGGAGAGAGTGTTTTATTACTTTGTTCTCATTCCACCTCTCCTGCTCTTTCAGCTGGACACCCTCCTGCTCAGGGTGGCTTTGGCTTTTTTGGCTCTATAAGAGCAGCAGCTGCTCAATTGCTCTGTGTCATTGGCAGACTGCAAGAAAGTAAGGAAGACACTTGAAAATCGCAGTGCCTGCAAAGCACACAGTACCACCACACACACACATTCACTACATACACATGCTCTAATGGATAAATGTGTCTCAACACACCCACACAATCTTCCAACATTGAAACCAAGACTCAGCAGGAAGGATAACACTGTGTGGTCTAAAAATTAACTTCCTCACAATATTCAGGTGAACTATCCTTTTTGAGGTAGTCGACTTCAGTACATGAAGAAGCTAAAGGGATGATGGGTAGAGACTATGAGGGGGATGTGAGAGGCAGACAGAAAGAGAGACATGGACAGGGTGAGAGTTGCTATGGACCTTTCTTCTCTGGGCCTGTTGCGACCGTGGGCTCAGGGATGGGATCGAAGACACTGCAGTCCTTCCCGGTGTAGTCCCTATCACAGATACACTTCACTTCATTACTGCAGGTCTGCAAGAGATTTGATAGGAGAGAGGCCCAATTAGCTATCTGCTAAGAGAAAGACGGGGCAGTTGAATATAATAACATTAAAATGATTTGGTATTGATCAACATAATCAACGTAAGCCTGTTCTTCAAGCAGGTCCTATGTGTGATGCTTAAAAGGGTGTTGAAACAGTTAAAGTTCACATAAAAAAACATAAATTTTTCATTCAAATTTAGACTGAAAAATCGACAGTGTCACTCTAAAATGAGAAGATATTAGCTTTGTCTTTTTTTCTTTTACCCCATGGTCAGAACAAATGCGTCCAAAGTTGGATCCTGGGCATGTGCTGAGGTTGAATGCAGCCACAGGGAGGCAGCGTCTCTCCAAACACATCATGTTGGGACCACATGGAGTGCCATCCTCCACATAGCCCAGGTCTGAGCCGTCCTCTAGCAGAGCATGGCCACCCCTAATTGAAGCATCCAAACATGAGAGATAGATAGGACAGAGTTAGAATTACAACACCAAGGGATACTAATGGACAACAGCCTTTGTGACTGATTGGATGAATTTAATGTGACTACCTGCAGTCCAAGTACTTGTTCTGGTGATAGAGGGTGAAGCTGGTCACTTCACCTTGGAGGTCTCCAAACTTTGGTTTCATTGTCACATTAGCACAGAACAGGAACCCGCATAAAACATCTCTAAAAGAAGCCGATGCAATAAGAAAAAAGGAACATGACATTTCACCAACAGTGCAATTCATAAATGTATTATAGATTTCTATACATTTATAGAAGTTTTATTTTTCCTTACTGACAGGCCAACTGAGGATTATGTTCAGGTCACGCCTAGAATGAGCAGGTGACTCTTTCACATTCATACACATATAGACAGAGTTTTTATTCCATCCTTACAGAACTTTATGAATGACTTCCTGATTGATGCATCAGTAAGTTGGTTGAGATTGCACACAAGGACCCTTTGAGGACTGAATGATTCAGAGATTGAATCACAGACCTTTTAATTAGTGGAAGACTATCTCCTGAGCCACAGCCAGGGTGGATTTTTTGGGGGTGTGTGAATCCCTCTAATTTTCAAACTTTTGCTATTTTCAGGATGTCTGGAAGGGTCAGGCTCTGTGGAGCCTTTTTTGTTGTCTCTCTGGACACTGTCCAGCTGCTTGTTGTCTTGGGATGACCATACCAGCAGTATTGCATGTGCCCATTTTTCCTCACTTTTCTTTATGTTTGAATCTTTTGAATCTTTTCAGTGAAATTGGTGGAAAATCTTAAAATAAGGCCACCATTCAAGAGACACTTGAAATTCAGACCGTGCAATAATAAGGAAAATGCTAACATACAGTGCAAGAAAACCAAAAAAGAGAATCGGGAATTTGCCACTTACGGCTTGTTGCACTGGAGCCAGCCTTGGCCATCAGGACCGGGGCCACAATTTCCTTTTTCTGTCCCCTCAGCGTTCAGCTTCTCATAACAAAACCTGTCTGCTGAATCTGAGATGGAAAAAACAAACAAATATACATATTCATATTTTAACTATCAGAATCAGACTAAACTAGTAAAATAAAAATGTCATATGCTGGAAGAGATGCTGTGGATGTGTTTAACACATACTATAGCCCCAGAGCCCCTTGCATTGTCCATCACGTGTCCTACATCGTCCACTGTAACATCGTCCCTAAAGGGGTGAAACAGTGCTAATTAGTGTACCACAAACTCAACTGCATATTAGAAAACAGCCAAAACCATCTCTTACCTGACTATTATCACACATGTATCCATCTAGCTTGTGGACATTATGAGGGCACTGCAAAAGTAGGAAAGTACATCGTGAACTGGAAGCCGTTTTATGTGATCTTACAGTTTTCAGTGTTGCGTACAGAGAGTGCTACCTCGCTAGAGTCTCCAGTGCAAGTTTCCGGGATGTCACAGTCATTCACAGCCTGTCGACACACCACGCCTCTCTGTTCATACTAACACGCATCAGAGGAAAAAAAAAGGCATCAGACAAACATGTCAATCAGTTGTCATATGGGTGGTTTTTAATGCATGCCGCGCAACCATACAGGCTGAGAAGTCTGAAAATGTTGTGAGTCATAAGAAACATGACACACTTCTTGTTCTTGTCACCGCACCAGCATAAATTAAGACTTTCTGAATCTTTTAAATTTCAGAAGTTTTGATAACATATAAAGGAGAAAAATACTGTAAATGCTCTGACAAAGTAAACCTGATGTTCAAATTTCTCTCAGTCAGTTTAATTTACTTTTCAGGCTCTTTGTAATACAGGGTTGCTCACCTTGCAGCCACTGCAGCAGAGTCCGTTACTGCACATGGCATCATGGGTAAGGGTGCACTTTTTACAGCAGGCTCCTCCCCTACGGGCACATTCCTGCCACCACAGACATGAAAACAGCTGAGTTCCAGAAAACAAGACACCATTTGGGGCCCATACATAGACATGATGTGGAGACGCTACCTGTTTCCAGTAGGTTAACCAGTCTAGCCAGTTACTTACCAGCTGGGATCCACAATCACACTCTTCTCCTGGCTCCACAAACCCGTTCCCACACTCAGGAGGGTCCAAGAGCTAAAAGAGACAAAGGTAAAAGATTAAGTAAAGGTTATTCAAAGGATTAAAGCAAAAAATAATGTGCGACTCCAAATTAAATATGTATTTTGATTTAAAAAAAGATTTCACAGGCCACATATCCACACGGCCCTCACCTTGTTGGGCTTGTTGAACAGGCAGCTGCCACCTCCCTGGAGCAAGAACTGGATGTACTCGTCAACGCTGCAGCGAGAAAACTTTCTGGGCAGATGGAATCTGTGATGACAAAAAAACACAAAGGAAGATCAAGACACTACATGACAAGGAAATAAAATAAAAACAGCATGATACTTTTCTGCCAGTAAGGAATGCCAGATCCATTGTGGGTGTCTGTGCCATCACGTCGCAATCTGACAGAAATGTTACCATCTGTAGTAAGATATTACTCAAATGAATAATTGAAATCTTTATTGTTCCATCTGGCAAGGGGAGCTAAATCCAAATCACTCATGTAGTAAATACTTTCAATTCACCATTTGTAATTCTTACACGGTGACCGGCACACTGATGTCTTATGTTTCAGCAAATTTGCACAAAGCATCAAATGCATCGGTGATTATCACCGGCTTGACTAATTGAAAGACAGTAAAATTTAAAGTTTCTCTCTGTTACAGGTGTTTCGTTTTTCAAGTCAGGGAAATTAGTAAGACAAAACTGTAGCTTAAAGGGATTTTACCCTGTGTCTTCCATGATGCATCCCACCCAGGCATCTGGGCATTTGCAGTCTCCTGTGAAGAACGGCAAAGATGATAGACATAAACTAAAGGAATAAAATAATGCACTGATCTTCATTTATAACTTAAGCTGTGAAGCTTTAAATGCTGTTGCAAGACATTATGAACTTGTACTCATAACAAATAAAGATAAGAGATACAGTATAGATCTATGTGTTTGGCATTGAAAAATACAACTGATGGTTATAGAGCCTATTCTTTAGTGGCAAGGATGCTTTAACCACCACCTCCTCCTTCTTGGAAGCAGGTGACTAATCACCTAATGAAGGAGTATAATTACAGAAGAGAACTGCTGGACAGGGACACTAACACCTCCACCCCACTGCCTTAATCCTACCAGCACCAATGTTGCTCTCTTACTTTGTTAATCTATTCACTCCAGTGCTGGGTTTACAGTTCCCTGTAAATAAAGCTTTCCTTCTATCTTACCTGCAGAGTTACGTGCATTGTTCCACCTCATCCCAATGTTCTGGCCAAGACTCTGGCACAAAGTGATGGCCATCGCACCTACATTTCCATACTGAAACAAATTCACATGGAATGCATGTAAAAGTTTGCTGTGAAGTGGGGACACATATTTTGCGACATATATTTATTGTGAGTCACATAAGTTGAGTTTATCCATCCATCCATCCATCCATCCATCCATCCATCCATCCATCCATCCATCCATCCATCCATCCATCCATCCATCCATCCATCCATCCATCC